GATGGTGATGGTGATGGTGATGGTGATGGTGATGGTCATGGTCATGGTCATGGTCATGGTCATGGTCATGGTGATGGTGATGGTGATGGTGATGGTGATGGTGATGGTGATGGTGATGGTGATGGTGATGGTGATGGTGATGGTGATTGTGATGGTGACGGTGACGGTGATGGTGATGGCCATGGTGATGGTGATGGCGGTGGCGATGGCGATGGCGATGGTGATTGTGGTGATGATCATGCTACTGGTAATGCTGGTGATGTTGATGATTGTGATATTGATGGTGATGGCGGTGGTGATGGTGATGGCGATTGTGGAGAAGGTGGTAGAGATGATGATGATGATGGTAACGATGGTGCTGACGGTAACGGTGGTGGTGATGGTGGTGATGTTAACGGTAATGATGACGAGGGTGGTGATGATGATGGTGATGGTGATGACGAAGATGATGACGATAATGATGACGATGATGGTGGTGATAAGTACGGTGATAGTGATGGTGATGGTGATGGTGATGGTAATGCGGATGGTGGCGGTGATGTCGATGATGATGGTGATGGTGATGCAAATAGTGATGATGATGATGCCCTGCGCTTTGGGGTGGTTTGTCTGGGCTCGCTGGGCCTGCACAACCACACTGGAAGAAAACGAGACGGGGATCCCCCCTCGACTGGACCCTGAAAACGGAGTCGGCACAGAACAAACGAGACGGAGACGGCCCGCCTCTTGTCTCGGGCACGGAACGGGGCACCATCTAAAGAGTCGCCAGGCTGGATCGGTGAAAGCGGCTGACCCGACTCTAAGCCAAATTGGCGGCGTCACCGAAGTCGTTTCAGGCGGTGGGTCCCCGTCGATGGAACCATCGTCGTCGTGCGTCTCGGAGGTGATGCATGAGGTAGTCGCTGTGTCCCTCCAGCCAGTAGATGGGCGTTCCCAGGTCGGTCTCGAACTTCTCGAACTGAGGCCAGCGCCTCTGGAGTTGCGTGAGCATCCTGATGAAGGTGCGCACAGGTCCTGAATAGGCTGCTCCAGCGTCCTGGATGCGGTGCCTGAGGTCGGTGACATTTGAGCGTAGTAGTGGCACTCGTAGCACTTGGCGTCGGATGGATAGCATGACTTCGCGCTGGCCGATGGCGCAGGGGTCGAGAAGGTGGCCCTTGAGGACGACGCTTAGCATTATCCACAGGCAAGTCCACTGGCGACCTCGCGGAACGATGGTAGCAAACATGGCGCGGCAATATTCGCGCATCTCGAGCTCGGACGGGGCTCCGAGGTCGGAGCCCACGGCCACCACGGAAGCAGCCACCGCCTGCGCGATCTCCGCGCGCTGCAGCATCGGGAGTGGTAAGCGTTGGGCTCGTTGGAGTCGTAGTATGGCTGCTGCGAAATGCTCGTCGAAGAGGTCGGTCTCTCCCCCTCCACGCGCGACGGACTGGCTTCCCACAAGACGGAAGGCCCTCTTGACGGGGAGGTCGCGGCCGCAGACCTGCGCGCTACCCGGCGCACCAACCACGCCGTCGTCACTTGTCCAGGCAATCATTTTTCCCACTTGCAACTCCTGACCAGAAAGCTTGTCGAATAACAGAGACTGGCGGGAATATTCACGCATGCCTGGCATGCCACACAGTTGCACTGGAATATTCGATGAAGGTTATAGAGACCGACCTCGGCATCACATCGAGATGAGCTTCTTTAGGTCGTCTATACTGAACGCGGAGCCACGGAGGCGGGCGCTCGCGATACACGTGGCCTCGCTGCGCGCACCAGACATTCTGAGGCATCTCCGATGGTCGCTGTAGAACGCCCGTCGCGCACGTAGCAAACTTTCTGGACAGCCAGCGCGCCTCTGGAGTTGCATGCAGACGTCCGTAACCAATACGTCGAAACACTTCTTGCGGTCCAGCGCCAGGCCGCGGACCCACTGCTCATCGCGTTTGGACCACTCGACCTACAGAACGAGACCTGTCGACACATCTGACAACCTGGCCCACGAAGTGGCCCCGAAGCCGGTGGGATGGCAACGCTGTCGCCGCCGGGGTTCGAGTTTCCGGTAGGTCGGGATTTCCCAGCAGCAAAGCCAGACCGAAAGGACTGGGAGCAGACGCTGCTCATCAGGAAAAGAACCCCCCCCTCAAAGCTAAACTGGGCACGCGGTTGACAGCCAAGGGGAACCGACCCGAAGTCTGCATCGATCGAAGAGCCTCGGCAAAGACAGCCTGCATGGACGGCGGGAGCGCCCATCCGTCAAGGCCCCCTGCCTTGCGAGAGCGACGTGCCCGGAGAAAAGCGCGAACCCCAGCATCACTCAGATGGGGCTCAGGGCATGGGCACACAGGGGGGAGTTCAGCTTCATACTCAGCTTGGAATCACCCCAAGTCGGGACTTGCGAGGCCCCGCGACACTTGCAGAGGATCGGCTCCCAGGTCGCCTGCATGAGCTTCATGGTGTCAAGCGGGTCGGAGATGGTTTCGTGAGTGTCGGGCTTTTCCAGGAATGCGGTGGGCTGTTGGGTTTGCGCTCTTACCCAGGCACACACCTATCGCCCTCCCTGCTGGCCTGATGTCGACACGCGGGCTCGCCATTGCTGTAGTCGCTGCCGATGTGCTTCAGCGGCATATCATTGTTGTTCAGGAAGTACCCGTGCGGCAGCTTCTCGCGCCTGTCCTGCAGTGGGATAACGCATTGGCGGTCATCTGCCTGGCCAGGAAGCGCGAGCCCGTTGGAGCTGCCTGATCTGCTTGCAACAGTTGGCCCAAAGTTGATGGTGGAGCTGGATGTCGACGTAAGTACTGGTACCACTGGTCTCGTAGCGCTCGGCCCTGTAGCTGATATCCAGCAGTCGTCGGTGGGGTTTCGTATACTGCCACTCGATCCGCCACATCGCGCCTTGCTGCGGCGAGATTGGCGGCGCCGCCCAGCCTTGCACGAACCTCGGGGGCCCCCCACGCCCACGCGTACCCTGCTTGACATGCCGATCACAGAAAGCACCCAGGGAGTCCTCGCAAATGTCGTCGGCGATATCGAAGGCACGCTCGGCGTTGCCACGGGCCTCCTCAAGCAGTGGAGCTCGTTGGTCAACAAGTAGTTTGCCAAGCGCGACCCTCTCCTCGCAGGGCATGGCAATGTCGCGTACACTGCAGAGTCCGGGGCGCCCCCATCGACGAACACGGGCGGCGAAAGCGCCGACGCCGAGGGCACCCTCAGGACCGACCGAGATGGCTAGGGCATTTGAAGCCCCGCGCAATTTGGAAGTCGGTGCCCATTTAGTCGGCGCTCTCGTTGGCGAAGACGCAGTCTATCCTGGATGTGTGTTCGGCGAGGTCGAAGCGGTTCAGGCTGGGGCCGTGGTCATAGGTCACGGCGTCTTGGTCGTCGCACCCGTTAGCTACTGTATTCCACCCGCCGTCCTGAAGCACCCAGCTCAGGTAGGCCGACTCGGTGACCTCGCACTGCGCATCCATGGTAACGAAGTCGGGGGCTGTCACCGTCGAGCCCCGATGCGCGGCTGCTTTCCACGCGTCAGCAAATAGATTATCGTTTGGCTCGTCCGCAACACCGCGCACCGCAGCCAGGTAGTAGCCAGTGATGTGGCGGCTGCTGTCGCTGGGGATGGGGACGAAGACCTCCCTCCACCCTTTCGGTGGCGAGTAAGCGGTCATACATTGGATGAGTACAGCCTGTCGGGACAACGGGGGCGGACGTAGGTGACACAATGGCGACTCAAACATGCCCAGCCTGTACTCCTTTGGCCACGTACTGATGCTTGCCGTGCTGCGATGGAATGGTGCTCTCACCAGGTTCTAGTGGCTGTCCCCAGTGGGCTTTCTTCCCATCCATGGCGATGTAGGTGCTTGTCCATATTAGCAAACTGCCGTTGGGTGTGACGGACTTCCTGCAGGGCCGCAGCAGCCACTCCGTGGTCGCCGAGCGCCGCAAGGAGCTCCCCGTGCGCCTGCAAGGACGTCACGCTGATGGAGACTACCTTGTGATTGTCTGGGCCATCTCCCAGAGTAGAAGTTGCATACTGCCGTGCACGATGGCCCTGGCTGCACCCGAGCTGGAGGATACAGGGCACCCACAATAGGGTGAGCCTGTTTCGCGACCGTTGTTGGATGCCGCGGTCACGCTTTGGAGTCGAGGAAGGCGCTGGCCTCTCAGAAAATGGCACGGTCTCGTCGCAGTCGTAGCAGTCACCCAGACTGGCCAGACGCGAAGTCCACGCTGCGGAGCTGCACCCATGCACGCAGCCATCCCAAACGCTGCAGTGCCCCAAAATGTGAGCAAGACGCCCACTACCAGGTAGATCCAAAGATTTGACTTGGCGCCCGAAGCGACGCCCTCGCTCGCGCACTGCACAGCGGAAGGTGGGACTTGCCTGCCTCAAGCACCCTCAGAGCTCGCCGTCCCTGATCTGGGCCTGGGCGCGCGGGGCCTTCTCGGGAGCGTCGGCGCGCTCCTGCTGCAGTTTCAGCTGCCTGAAGATCTGGGCCAAGCTACCTTGGATGGCAAGCCAGTTCGACATGATCGCAGCACTGAGGTTCTCGCTGGCTTGCTTCAGTTCACCAGCGGCCGCGCCGGCCGTCTGAGCGACGTCGCCGAGCTTCTCGCCGAGGACAGAAGCGGAGGCCTCCTGCTTGGCAACGGCGTCCTTCATGGTCTCCACGGCGGCCGCCTGCGCGCGCACGCTGGCCTCGAGCGCTTGGACGCGCTGGTGCTCAGCACCGGGTAACCGAACTGGCCGGCGCAGGGGCAGGCGCCGCGGCCTTCGGCTCGACCTCCATCTGGTTGCCGTCGGAGCTTGGAGTAGCCATTGTCATTGGTGGCTTCGCGTCGAGTGCCACTTGCCAGGGCGGAGTTATAATCGCAGGCGACGCTGGTGAATTTCCCGCAGGTGGGGGCGGTGGCTCCGCAGTCTGAAGCGAAGCCGCGAAGCCGTTAGCGGGGCCCACAGCGCCGCCCGCCTCTAGTCGCCGCCGCGCCGCGCGCTGCCTGCCACAAACCTCCGCGACGACCCACGGCGTGGAGGAGCCGAACTTCCAGTACTTGTTGGAGGGCTCGGTGTCGGAGCGGGAAATGGCGAAGTTGGTATTCTCATTGATGTCGAAGCTGACGTAGGCGATGTCCGCAGTCCAGCCGGCCGTCTGCGCTGCGTCCGCGACCTGGCCCCTTGTGTCACGGCCGTTGGGGATGTCGTCGATGCGCCACTTGCGCCGCGCCAGTGCGATGTCAGACCCTCGGACAGCAGTGGCTGCTTCATTCGCTTGACGATGATCACGAAGCACGCGCATGCTGAAATGCCCACGGTCGCCCTTGGTGATGTCCAAAGGCAACTTCGCGGGACCTTGGCCATAGAATAGGCGACCGGCATGCTGATCGCCTTGTTGAACCATACTGCGCGCACCTTCTGCCTGTGGCTTCTCGGAGTCGGCACCTATGTAGGAAAACAGAAAAGGTAATGCCCTGGTAACCCGAGTAGTTCAGCAGCTGCATCTCCTGAGCCTTCTTTATAGCAAAAATGGCTCCCAGTGGCATCCCACCTACTTGGCCTCCAGCAGAGAGTAGGCGACTGGGCTCGTCGAGGATCTCGATCTCAAGCAGATGGCATCCATGGTGGACTTGATAAACTCGCGCAACCCAGTATCGAGGGAGAGTTTGGCATCATATCGTCGAGCTTGCTTCCGTCTCTCTTTTGCCGTCGTGCCGAGCTCGTCTTTACGCTGACCTCTGATCACGATGGGTGCGGCCCCGCTGAACTGCGAGCTGAGGACGTCATTCATCGTGGGATTGACAACTAAGGCGTCGGCCTCATGGATGGTGATGCGCACGAATGTGGCTTTGGCGTCCGCAGCGTCAAGCTGCGCGAGTTTGGTCTTCATCTCTACACCCGTCTCGTCGAATTGGTACATGACCCCGTCCATGAATGTCTTCCGCGGCATCCTGGCACCATGTGGGACCTTCAGGGCTGAGATCTGGATCTTGGCGTGTGCCCAATTGTCGCTACCAGTGCCGACGGCTAGGATCGCAATCGGCTCCTTCTGGCGGCGTATGGCAGAGCACCATTTCTCAGCATCCACCATAGAGTGCAGCGAGATGGAGGGCTCAGACTCACCGTTGGGCAACTTCTTGGGGGCTTGGGCGATCGGGATCGACCAGTCATTCTCGTCGAGGGCGATCGGCTGGGGCTTTGGCGCATGGCCCTTGCCGCGGCCCGTGGTGTCGTCCGTGTTCCCGTCGGTTACAGCATTGACGCTAGAGACGCGCCGGTGCTGCTCGTGGGTCCACGAGATCTCGTGATTCGTCAAGAGCTTCTGCAGCGCTCTCAACTGTTTGTCATCTGGGGTCTGAGCCAGCATCTGGTCTAACCCTGTCTGATCCTTGTGGATGAGCTCGTTGTATGCTGCGGTAGCACGATCGCCCCCAGCATCTTGAATCAACTTCACCACCTTCTTCTTGCGAGCAGCTGGCCCGCTGATCTTCAGAACCGTCTTCCCCATCTCAGCTGTGTCGGATGGCGGCGAGAAATGTGAATCTGGGAGACAACCGATTCTTGCATTGGCTCACTATCGGCACCGCCACAAGTACGAAGGATGGACTCTGAGGGCAGATCGGGAGGGCTGCGCGCTCTCGCTCCCCAGCGAGTTGGAGCCCATAGGTGCTGATGGTGATGCTGATGGTGATGCTGATGCTGATGCTGGTGCTGGTGCTGATGCTGATGCTGATGCTGATGCTGATGCTGATGCTGATGCTGATGCTGATGCTGATGCTGATGCTGATGCTGATGCTGATGCTGATGCTGATGCTGATGCTGATGCTGATGCTGATGCTGATGGTGATGGTGATGGTGATGGTGATTGTGATGGTTATGGTGATTGTAATGGTGATGGTGATGGTGATGGTGATGGTGATGGTGATGGTGATGGTGATGGTGATGGGGATGGGGATGGTGATGGTGATGGTGATGGTGAGGAGGAGAAGCACGAATGAGGAAAGAGAAAGGAGCGACGCGGGATGCTGTCCAAAACGAGGGCCCAACACCACAGGATGGTTGGGAATAACGCTCAAGCCTCTGTGAGGGCGTCACGGGGATGTGGGAGGCCATCCGGGCCATGTCCGGGCGCACGTCAGATGACCCAGCGACGGGGGTTGGAGGGGTTAGGGGACGCCCCCTCGGGGCCATCTGGGGGGGTGCTCGGGGCCGTCTTGTGGCCTGGGCCCTTTTGGGACGACGGTATTGGAGCCAGCCTGTGTCGTGTTGGGGCCCTCTTGGAACTATTTGGGGCCATATCGGGTCGATATTGTGAGTATCTTGAGCCGTCTTCGGCCGAACAAAAAGAATGATCCAGGCGAAGGCGAAGGACCAAGCCATTTGCAACTAGTACCGTCCTTGTGGGTATCGCTTTTGGTGGCTCTCCTCATGGGGCCACGAAGCGCGTGAAGGGTGTGCCGACAATGGCGGGGCCGCCGTGCGGGCGCCGCCGCTGGGGCCCGAGGTAAAACTGCACATGGGGCCACAAAGCGTGCGAGGTGTGTGCCGACATGGGGTCTTGGGTGGAGCCCCCTATGGGACGCACAGAGACATACTAATACTGTATGTCCTCATTGGAGGCGCGCGTCCAACCCGAACATATAGTACACCCATCTTGTAGTATATCGTTTCGCGAGCGGCGCGGCCAGAAAGCGCCCGCCACGACGCCTATACTATAAGATTTCTCGGTGCGCACGTCGCCCCTGGGGGGGCGACGCACATATAGTATAAGCATGTTGGCGAGACGCCGACCCTATGGGGCCACGAAACGTAGCGTGCGGGCCCTGGCACTGGGGCCTCAGATGGAGCCCCCTGTGGGGCCATGGAACGTATGGGCTGTGTGCCGAGAAGGGCGTGACGCCCACATGCGAGCGTCGCCACCGGGGCCTCAGGCGGAGCACCCTGTGGGGCCAGAAAACGTGTGAGGGGTGTACCGACATGGGCGTGACGCCCACATTCGAACGTCTCCACTGGAGCCTTAGGTGGAGCTCTTCATGGGACCACGAAACGTGTGAGCAGTGTGCCGGAACGGACGTGACGCCCATTGCGAACGTCGCCACTGGAGCATTCGGTGGAGCTCCCTACGGGGCCAGGAAACGTATGAGCGGTGTACCGAAACGGGAGTGACGCCCACACGCGAACGTCGCAACTGGGGCATCAGGTGGATCGCTCTATGGGACCACGAAAAGCGTGAGGGGTGTACCGACATGGGGCGTGACGCCCACATGCGAACGTCACCACTGGTGCCTCAGGTGGAACTCCCTATGGGGCCACGAAACGTGTGAGGGGTGTGCCGACACGGGCGTGACGCCCACACGCGGACGTCGCCACAGAGTGGACCACCCTGTTGGGCCACGAAACGCGTGATCGGTGTACCGAAACTGGCGCGACGCCCACATGCGAAAGTCGCCAGTGGGACATCAGGTGGAGCCCCGTATGGGACCACGAAGCATGTGAGGGGTGTGCCGAAACAGGGGCATGCGGGCAGACCCAGGAATGGGAGAAGGGAGGAGAAAGAGGAGGAAGGAAGGAGTGAGGAACGCGGGACGCTTTCTTAAAAACGAGGACCCGACACAACAGGATGGTCGGAATATGCGAAAAGCATTCAGGCCTGAAAGTGTTGATGATACTTGCCTCTTCGGGGCCTTTTAGGTGTCCGCTTGGGGCCGCGTGAGGGCGTCTCGGGGGTCTCTGGAGCTGTCTTGGGGCTTTCGGCCGTCTTGGATTCGGCCGACCTGGAGGTTAGCTTGGGCCGCCTCGGCCGCTTTGAAAGCCATCTTCATCTTGGCGGTCTAGGACGCCATCTAAGGCGACCCTGGTCAACTTAGAGGCGAGGCAAAGACGGGACCGCTGACACGCCGAATGGAGAGGTTGGCCCGAAGCTCTGGGCGGGGGTGAACAAGAGGCTAGAGCATCAAAGATGGTTCCAGGTGGCTCCATGGCCCTAGATAGCAACAGGTGGCCTCCAAGATGGCGCAGGATGGCCCAAGTTGGTGCAAGATTGCTTCCAGCATACCTCCAAGAGACCCAGAAATCGCCACAAGGCGGCCAAAAGTGGCCACGGAGTCTCTCCGATGATACCCCCCGAGAGACCAAAATCCTTCAGATATTTCAGGTTTTACGAAGGCGTTGACCTTCTCGACGTCTCGCCTCCGATTGGCTTCTGAGCCCTCAAGTTGACCCAAGGATGGCTCATGAGGGCTCTAAGCTGGACCCGAAAGGGCTCCAAGCAGAGCCAAGGATCCCGTAAGGCACCCTAAGAGAATCTCAAGAGGGCGCGAGGATATGTGACTCTGCCATTGAAGGGGCGATGCTAATTGAAGCCTTCCCCTGTGGGCGAAATGCATCCAGGATAGCCCCAAGAGCCTTCCAAAGGCTCTGATCCCAACCAAAAAGGCTCCAAGCGAACATCAAGAAGAACACGAAGGCTCCCAAAGCGGCCCAAACAGAGCTCCAAGATGGCTCCCAGAGGTTTCTAAGCGGCTCTGAGAGCCTCACATAGTGGCCATTGTTGATAACCGCTCGGGCTGACCACAACGTCGATGTCACTGCCGCCCCCCTTCTATACTTGACTGGTGCTCCCCGATTGTCCTTCGTGAGATCTCTCTCTCTCTCTCTCACTCTCTGATCTCATCGGGTAACCCTCGAAGCGGGGTAGACAGCACGCATGACGCCTTTCAAGAGTCGGCGCACCTCCAAGCCTGCTCATGATTGCGGCGGCATCCCGAGACTTTACCCCCGCTCCCACGGAGAGGATGAGGGACGCAAAAGCATTGTGAGCACAAAGGGGAGAAACCGCCCGATTGTCACCGACATCACGCCATGAGCAACCGCACAGGCGACTCTCCCAGCAAGCCCCTCCTGTGCAAATGGCTGCTGTCAACATCGTGGACGCATCCCCCCCCCGTCATCATTCTCTTTATCCCCCCCCAGCCGCCCCCTTCCCCATTAACCCTTCGCCCCCCGCGCCCCTCTCGCCCCGCTCACGAGGAGCTCCCCAGAGGCTCGTAAGAGGCTCATCAAAGCTCGAAGAAGGCTCTCGAGAAGCGTTCCGAAGGGTCGAAACGAGGCTCTGACGAAGCTCAGCAGGAAGACGGGGCAGGCGAAGCGAGGCGAGGGCAAGGCGAGGTCCGGGGAGGGGAGGGGGAGGGGAGCGGAGTCGGCCGCCAGTGGGGGGGTGGGACAGGGAAGGGGCGGCAGGGAATCGGCGGCGACGATGGGGGCGAGTAGCCCAGGGGCGGGCATTACACGTATTCGCCCGGGAGCCTTGCCGAAGACATATATCATCGGCGCACCTGAATACATGTATTGCTCGCCCCTGGGCTATTCGCCCCTATCGTCGCCTCTGAAGGAAGGATGCCCCGCCCAGCTCCTCCAGCTCGCCAGCCCCCTTGACGAGGTCGGCTATCCTGGCGTTCAGCGCGGACTCCGCCTGTGGTACAACCCACGGCGGCGGCAGGCCGCAGATCGTGACCGTCCTGGCAACCGCCACTCGGAGGGGGGGCGGGCGCGGGCCGCTCTGGACGGCCTCCTCTGGTTTCGGGTTCCCCATGTTCCTCGACGAGGAAATCATGTTTAAACCAATGTTTGCCAGCGTGGACCACAACCGGTGCCCACCCGCACCTTGGTTTGCAAAGTCCGTGCGGCCATGGCGCGCTGGTTGTCGCGTCTCTACAGCCGCGCTGGCGAGCGCAAGCTCGGACGCGCAGCAGCCAGCTGCTTTGAGTCTGCAATGTGTCTTGCACTTCCGCTCCTCACCATCGACTACATCAGCGCCATCGCATCACCGCCGCCATCGTCATCGTCAAGCGCCGCCATTGCGGCCATCAGCAGTCATACACTTTCGTCACTGACAAATAAGTATCAATATCGTCGTCGCTGTCACCAGCATCGGCGCCGTAATTGGCCTGGTCGTCGTCAACGTCATCCCCACCACCACCACCACCACTACTATCATCAAAGTCATCATGATACCGCGCCCGCCCGAGTCCCCGACTGGCACCTGAGTGCCCGCGCGCCAGCGCGGCCTCTGAGACGTGCTGGGAAGTGTCCATCGGCAAGCGGCATCGCGGCCGCATCAGTTATGCCATATGTGTTTCAAGAGCCCTACCCCGAGAACGGTCGAAACGTACTGGTGTTCGAAGGATTTCTACACGCGTGCGTGGCCGCGCGCGCGCGTGGCCCGCATAGTACTATGTGATCGGATTCGTGCAGTGAGTACATGCGGATGCACGTCGTGGTGGCATGAGAAAGCGAGGTATGGACGATGTTGTCAAAGTGATATTGCTATCCGAAGACTTCAGCTAATGCGCGCGTGCAGACAAACTACAGGATACTGCACTCAAAAACCGAAGGGTGCTTCCGTTGTTTGACCGAAGGTTTGCTGAATCCATGAGTCTGGTGTGGTTTCGATATATGCGCGCGCGTGTGGATTTTGTCATTTTTACGGGGCAAGGGATTATGGAGAAAAGCTTGTGTTATAACGGCGGCGCCTGCATGGTATGGTTTGGATAGGATGAAAGGAGGGCGATACCAACCGGCCTGGGATGGTATAAATTCGTATGGAAAACGGACGGCAAAGCTAACTCCGACGTAACTAACAGTGTCCCAGGTGGGCGACCTGTCCGGGGGGGAGACGGTGGTATAGTCTACTCTTCTCGTGACAGGAGAATCGATGTATTGAGAGCTGTGCGGTGCAACCCACCTTGCGAAGCTTGAAGTCGTCAACTCCCCTGCTCGCGCAATCATCCCACCCTCGCTCTCGCAATTTGTTTTGCACAACCCATGCGGCCGCAATTGCGGTGTCTACTTGGCACTGGCTGGCGCATCTCGTGGTTAGCGCGCGCAAGCTCGCGCGCAGAGCGAACAGCTGGTTGGGCACAGCCGATGCGGCCGAGATAGCGCTTACCGATAGCAACTTCCAAGCGCGTCTCAGAGGCCGCGCTGACGCGCGGGCCCTTTACGGTGGGTCGGCAACTCGAACGGGCGCGGCATCATGATGACGTCGACAGCGACTGCAGCGAGGATGCTAACAGCGATGGTGGTGGCGATCACGAAGACGACGGCGAAGACGACGACGACGACGGCAAGGCCAAGTACGGCGCCGATGCTAGCGATAACGATGACGATGATGATGTCCATGTGTCGGTGATGGAAGTATTTAAATGGTGATGACGATAATGGTGGCGATTGCCGATGATGATGACGTGAGGCGGCGGCAATGATGGAGGTGATGGTGAAAAAGTGCGCGAGCGCGCGGACATGCAAGGAACCTGGCAGAGTTGTGGTTGAAAACGCACGGCTTTTGATCTGTGCGTGAAGAGGTGTATCTCGAAGTGTTCAGAGTACCAGTGGTGTTCGAAGGAATTCGACGCGCGCGCGCACGCGGCGGCGCAATCGTGTGGCCCGCAGGGTTTTATTTGAGTAGAGCCACGCGCGCTTCACGCGCGCTCCGGTTCTAGCAAGCTCTAGTTGT